TGCCATGGTTTTTGTTCATATTTCCCTATCTCTTTCTTTGTTTTAATTTTCAGTCTGCTCTACACTTTTTTCTTTAAATAAATTTTTGTAGATATCACTACCTCTTTTTAAATCCAATCCAGGAGGAGTGTGTGAGGCAGGGAATTTCAATGTCTCTAGAAATTCTGGGAGGATAAGACAAATGGCCAGGCCTTCAGCCAGTAACCCCTTTAAAGACAGAGGTAGAAGAGTTTGCAAAAATAAAAAAAAAAGTTCATAATGGACTTTTCTATTTTATTCCAACCCAAACTAGTAAATACCTTGGAGGTTAGGTCTGATCCTAAAAAGGTTAACATGCTTTCTGAAATATCAACATGTGACCAGATATGCCTTATTTCAAATGGGAAAGGAACACTGGAACATTAGAGAAATGATTATTTCCTGGGGGAGTTTAAAGACAGACAACCTCCAGGGAACAAGGGGAGGGGCAGGAGTAATGGCAAGGGAAGGAGAATGAGCAGCCTTAACCATGACATTGCTGAGCAGCTTTACATTCCTTAAGTCATTACTCAACAGCTCAAGGGATTAAAAGCTTTTTGAAAATACTGGCTACCTTTCAAAGATCTGGCAGGTGGAGAGAGAATACCGATGACCCAACTGAAATACCAAGGCTAGACACATTTGCCTTCAAACAAAGAACTCAGAGTAGAAGAGGACTGCCTACCGATCTACAGAAAGACTCAAAAGGAAAAATCAGGGCCTGATAGAGTGAGTGAGGCAAACCTCATAAGCACAATTGCTCTGATATTTGAAGCACAGTGGACAGGGGACCTCCAGTTCCAGTGCATTCTGGAAGGATTTAGAGGAAGCTGCTAATACACTTCCTTGATCCAAAGATTCTCTATCTCATTTCTAACATTGAAGCGACAGTCTGACAAACATACAGAGCACAGAATCAGACATGGTTTCTGAAAACAGAAGCTACGTTCAAAATAAGGCATAAACAAGACACATCACTGGGGGATATTTTCACAGCAGAGCTATAGGTTGTTGACTATACATGTGATGGTATGTGTCTAAGAAGAAACTTAAGAATCACAATTTCAAAGGCTTTCTAATTTCTCTAACAAGCACATAATGCTGTGAAATCCTTTTAGGGAAGAGGAAAGGACAATCCTCTCTTTCCTCTTCCTAACAAGCCAAGGCAGGTGTTGCCATCTTCAATTTACAGCTAAGTCTTGCCACAGGTTTCCTTATCACCTCATGATGGATGCAGGATGGAAGGATGCATGCATGCTGCTGTGTCTTTGCCCAAGAAGGATTAGCTGGTGGCCTTAGAACCAACTAAACTGAACTTGGGCTTTACAGGGTTAGACTCACAACCAGACAGTGGCAACCAGTGCAACTACAGAGCACTGGGGGCAGACCACAAAGAGATATGCAGACCTCTCTGTAGCTTCTACCTTCAGACCTCCCAGCTGCAGGGCTACAGGTTTTCTGAGCTCTAAACAAATGTATTCATTCCCGTAGGGATTTTGTTAACTCTGTATTCAGTCTCTGGGCAAATGCTGCACTGTGAGTGGCAGACGGGTTCTGTTATTCCCTCTCAGCCTCATACCCCTGAGGATGGAAAGGACGGGTCACCAAGATTTAGGTTAGCCAGAGAATGGGAACACACTCATACATACCTTGGTATTGTGATTTTCAAAATATATCAAATGACAACTTTGAAGCTACTGGCAATGGTTTCTATTCCTATTTCCAACCCAACTCTTCTTTTGGAATGTGCCCTCATGAAACCTAAGACTTGACAGTGAGGACTCCTAAGAGTCCTGGATCCTGTTGCAGGAACCTCAGCAGGACTTTCTGTGAAACTCCTAAGAAATCATTCAGCTTTGCCTTGAAGTCATTAAATAACCAGCAGTAATTTGGAAGTTGGTGTCTCAAAATATTACCAAGAACACCTACATGAGAATCCTGTCCGCCCTGAGAATTGTTAAAATTCCACCCAGCAAGTCCACAGTAAATTGGCATCTCGTCCCTGCCAGGAGGTGGCTCACATCAAAGTTGTGTTAACTTTAAAAGTCCATTTACAGCCTAACTTCACCAAGCCTGCCTAGTAATTGCCTTCTGAAAATCTAGTTCAATTTCACTGGGCCTCCTGACGGACAACAAAGAGGAAAACACTGGTGAAAATAAGACCCCAAAGCACCTAACAGATCTATTACACAGTGTGTGGTGGTGTCACTCTGGCAAGCAAAGCCTTGGGGAGCAGGCCTTCATTGTGTTCTGTGATGCTCTGAACACAGACAAGCAAGGAAAGGAATGGCCATTGATGGGACATCTGCAATGCACTAAGGTAGGCACAGCATTATGCCCTTTCCATATTTCAATTTCTCCTAGATGATAAAATTAACCTTGTGAGATGTGGGGCGACTGCATCTCCTGTTACGGGACCTCACTGAGGTCATCCTGCTAGAACCAGGCTGAGTTAGGACTCATATACCTCTTTGCTTCCCATAGCTCATGCTCTTCTCACACCATACTCAACTCTCCCCAGCAACAACACCAAAATGTTTGATGCAAGAAGTCCATGGAACAGATGTTTCTCCTCAATGGTTACTGGGCAAGGCTCCTCTTCCACCAAGAAATAGATCAGTGATTGAGCAGTGTGTTAGATGCCCCATGGGGGGAGCAGCAAGCAAAATGCCCAGCCTGCTCGTCTCAATGAAGCATCTACAGTTGTTCAACACGCTTGGGCCATAAAGCTCTCTTGAGGCCAGGAAAGTGTTGTTTTTGAAAATATTACTTATTGAAAAGCAACAGATTTTAGTGATGAAGAGCACAGACTACGGAGCCTGACTGAGGTTAAGCCCCATCTCCTGTTCTGCCCCACAATAACCCACTGCATGGGTGCGGGGAAGGGGGGGCTGTGCAGATGGACATCAGTGGGCACAACAGGCACACTGTGTGTTCCATTTTGTGGTAAGTTTGAAATTTCCTGTAACAAAACATTTACAGCAAACAAGTCTTGAGCTTCTCAACTTATCTGTGTGTGGCATGGACAGGTCTCCTGGCCTGTCTCAGCTTCCTCATTTGTAAACCTGACTCCTCACTGACACTGAGCTGCTACTGTTACTCACAGAGTGATCGTGTCTGGCCCTAGACTCCGCTCTATGAACACATGATTTCAATTTAATCCTCCCAAGCAACCCATGAGGCAAGATAGCATTATTTTCACATGAAGCTGTGGACGCAAAGATATCCTGCAGCAAAAATCTGCATAAAAACCCAGGTTTACTCCAAAGTTGTTGGACTAGATTGCTTGCCTCCCTCAAGGGGACTTCGGCAGGTTTTATAGACAAGGAAACTGAGGCTCACTGGGGCTAAATAATCCACATGCCAGGCAATTACACAGGGCAGACCAGGTTCTATCAGGGTGGACAGGACAAGCTGTCCTCACAGCAACCACCCTAGGAAGAGGGGGCCCCAGCAGGCACTGTGAGGAGTGAGGATGGCCACAGATCTCCTCCCCCTGCCACACCTTCATTATGGGCTAAGCTAGGCCAAAATGTAATATTTCAGGCTCTTGCCTTTTACTTAGATAGGAATGCTAAGCACAGGCTCAGACACAGCATGCAGCACGGTAAAGTTTAGAGTTTATTTAGACAGTGGGAGGAATACACAGAACATAAGGTAACAGGAAACCCCATACTAGTCGTTTCCAAGGATCCAGAGGAAAGGAGCAGGAGCAAGTCACAGGACCACAGGACCAAGCAGGCGAGAGGACGTGCAGGCAGGAGAGCCGCAAGAGGACAAGGTGGGCCAGCGTTCTCCAGGCCTCTCATTCACTTCCAAAAGGGGAGTGGTTACATAGTCTGATTGACAGGTTGGTGGATACAGGTCATGTGGCCTCCAGCTCATGGGCCTAATCTATCTCCCTGCCCAGACCCATATCACCCTGACCAAGCAGATCTTGAGCCTTTCCCAGATCACTGAGGCTCAGAACCAAGTAAAGAAGAAGAACTAGAAACCCAAAAGGAATTTTATGCTAGCTGCCTTTGCATTTGGTATCTTAGTGAATCTCTTCCAAGGGCTACCAGCACTTGAGCAAGCATTAGGGAGGCACAGTATCTCCCTCTGGGACTGATGTAGGCAGGCATACAGGTTAAGGCTGATTAGGTTTGTGAGCTGGAAGGCCACGCCTTCACCACACCTGTGTGTGACCTCATGCCCCCCCCCCACCTGGCCACACCTGAGCACCCACCGGCCAATCAGGTTAATTAACCCTTTTGGAAGTGGATTAAAAGTCTGAGACTTGGTGTGCCCGTTATTAATAAGCACATGGTGATATCGTATGGCACCCCAAATTCTGGTTTCAGGACCAGCACTCACAGAGCAGGAGCCCTCAACAGAGCTGGGTCAAGCCCTGCCTTGTCCCAAGAGGCCCGCGTCTCCAGGAACAGCCTGTGCCACCGAGAAGAGAAAAGCACTTCTCTCCACACAATCTCTTGTAATCAGCAATGACTGGCGAACAGACACCCTCAGAGCAGTTACTACAACTCTACTTCCAAAAAGAAAGCAGGAACCAGGACCGCAGGAACAAGGCAGTTAGAGTAAAATGAGCCAACCCTTTTAGCTTGGCCAATTGGAATGGAAAACTCAGCTGGAATGCCACCAATTTGCATCCTTTCAGCTAAGAACAAAACCAAGCCTGACCTTTAGCTCCAGGCCCACTGGGCACTGCTGTTTGCAAACAGTATTAAGTAGGAAAGGCTAACTGGAGTAAACAGCACTCCTGCCCCCATTCTAATTAGAACTCTCATTTTTGCTAAAACAACTCACTTAAAGCACCCTCTCTGCCCTCTTCAGATCTCCTCCAGTGAAAAAGCACCATTTTCCTGGGAGTGCTGAACAAGGGGGTGCAAGAAGTAAATGCAGAGACTCAGGGAGAGCGAAGTGGGGTACCTGGGATCCCACTGACGGCACACACCTCCTGGCAAAACAAAATCAACATCCAGTTTAAGGCTATTATCTCCTTTATTCAAAAAATAAATATTTCACTTTGAGTCAACATATTTCAAATCACATTGAGCACGAGGAGAAATACAGTCCCTTTGGAAATTGTGAACACGTGTAGGAAAGAGTCATGTTCCAGACAATGGGGGTGAGGTGAGTACTGATTCCAGCTGCTTTGTGACCCGGAGACACCTATCTCACCAGGTGGAGCTACTGATTTCAGGAGAGAAAAGAAACACATACACACTCACACACGCACGCACGCATACACAGCTTTGAAGTCTGAAAGGCACATGAAGTGGACCATAAGGTATATGGCACATTCACTGATAAAAACGTTCCCTATTCCCTCCCAAGAAAAGTGGAGAACTTTAATCAAGTCAAAGACTAGAGAAGACAGGGTGCTCCTGCTTACAGCCCAGCATCATGGACAGCTCCGAGGAAGAAAGCCATTTTTCGACCGCTTTCCCCTCCAGCGCCTCCTCTCCCTGCCCATGGTGTCCACAGCCGGCGGCGCACTCACTCGGCGACAGTGGGGCGTGTAGCCACGTACACGAACACCACGATCAGGAGCACGACCACAGCCAGCGTGGGCAGCACCACCGTGGTGATCTGCTGCCGGGCCTCCTGCATGGCCTGCTTCCGCTCCTTCTTGTCCTTGGACGTCTCCTTCTTGGGCTTCCCCTTGAGCTGCCGCATCTTTCCCGGGCGGTACTGGGAGAGTGGGTCCAGAGGGGGCTCCGAGGAAGGGCCACAGTCCTCTTGTCAAGGCAGGAATCTCCTGTAGGGAGAACAACTGTGATCAAGAAGGAACAAAGGAAAAAGCAAGCATCAAGGCAAACAGAGAACTCGAGGTCTCCCGGGGCTCTGAGCTGCCCTGAGTCACTTATCCATCAATGAACACTTAGTGGTAGAAGGACTGGTGAGCATGGCATACTACAGCCGGGTCACGGCGTGTAGGCAAGGCCCTGGGTGCCATACAAATGTTACCATGATGTATGCATGCCATGATGTGAAGGCACTGGGCTGCACCAACCACTCAGCTTTCATCTGGAGGATGGGGAAGCGCCTGCCCTTCTCCATTCCAAGTTCTACACCTCCATGCTTTCCTAATCTCCAATATGGAACCTGTTACGGGTATAGCAAGGCTTGTCTCCCCACAACTCATGCAGCTGTTCTAACTCCAATGTCTTAGTGTTATTAGTTGATTAAGGGTGGAGATTTGATCTAATGATGGCATCTGAGAGGCAGGGCAGGTCTCTGGATCACTGGGGCCACACCCTCACGAGAGGTTTGATTATTTGAGTTCAGTTCGGCCCAGGTTCTCCTTCTTGGCTCATGACGTGAACATGCCTCTGCACCTGCCAAAACCAGCCTCCACCAGACGCTGGACTTCAGGGCCACCCATCCTGGAAACTTCCAACAGTAAGCAGAAACTTTCTCTTTCCCGAAGAAGTGCCTCTTGGGTATTTCAGTTAAGGTAACAAAAAGCAAACGGAGGGGGCCGGTGTGGTGGTGCAGTGGGTTAAAACCACCGCCTGCAGTGCCAACATCCCATACGGGTGCCAGTTCTATCCCGGCTGCTCCTCTTCCAATCCTGCTCTCTGCTATGACCTGGGATAGCAGAAGATGGCCCAAGTCCTTGGCTCCCTGCACCCACACGGGAAACCTGGAAGAAGTTCCTGGCAGCAATCTGGGGAGTGAACCAGCAGATGGAAGACCTTTCTCTCTCTCTGTCTCTACCTCTCTGTGGCTCTTTAAACTAAATAAAATAAATCTTTAAATAAATTAAAAAAAAAGCAGACTGATAATTCCAGCCACACAAGTTCCTTTCCTGCCAAAGCTTGGGGCCAGACCACAGGTCAGGCCAGGCCAGGCTTGCCAGCTACAGTGGGCCCGGAGGCCAACTTCCGTGCCTCTTCACGGTTGCCTTGACCCGTTTCCAAAACATCCTGAGCACCTACTATGTAGGTGCACTTACTGTGTGCCGGACACAGCTCAAGGAGCCAGGGATGCTGAAGAGGGACTGGATTCTGTCCTCCTAGGGCCCCGCTATGGCCCTTGGAGGTGCTCACAGGCCAAGCAGTATTGTCAGCAGCCCGAGAATGAATGACAACTCCTGGATAACCAGAGAGCATTTTCTCTACAGAAGTCTGCTGCTTTGTTTAAAGCAAAACAGACTCTGGCCTGTTTAACTTGAGGAGTTTACTCAAATACCTTTGTCTTCTCACATACTCCCCAGAACAGCCAGAGAACCAGGCTCTGAAAGTGGGCAGTATAAGGGATGCTGGGTTGCCATATCCTGAGTCTGGCCCCTGCCACTGGTGTGAGGATGCCACAGCCTGTGTCGCTGTAGCCGGCCCTGGACCAGGGCGCCAGGGTCAGAGGTGCTGACTCTGCAAAGAGGTAGCCGCTTACACTGTCTCCAGGATGAACTCTCCACTGCTCAGCTTGTATGGAAAAATAATTCCGATTTATTGCATCTTAAGTTTTATTCATTTTTTGATTAACGTGTAAATAACTGTACATATTTATGGAGTACAGCATGGTATTTCAAGACATTTATACAGAGTGTAGTGGATCAAATCACAGTAATTAGCATTTCATCTCATCATTACTTTATGATTGGAACCTTCAAGCTCCTGTCTTCCAGTTCTTCATAAAATACATAATAGATTATAGTGAACTACAGTCACCCCACTGGGCCGTCAAACACGACTATCGCACTGTGTTCTGGTACCCATCCCCCAACCTCACTCCATCCTCCTCATCCTTCCCACCTTCCCAATCCCGAGTAATCAGTATCAGACATTCAGGGCAGGTTTGGTTTTTTTTTTGGCTTCCATATGAGAGACAGAAAATTCAATATTTTGTTTTTCTTATGTCACTTAGTACAATGTTCTCCAGTTCCCTCCATTTTGCTGCAAATGTCAGAATGCCATCCTTTTTATGGCTGAATAATATTCCACTGTGTATAAATACATTTTCTTTATCCTTTCATCCATCGATGAACACTTAGTGACTTCTCATCTTGGTCACTGGGAACAGTGCAACAATGAACATGCGATTGCAGGTATCTCTCTTGATAGCTGACTTCACTTTGGAAAGATGAATATCTAGGAGTTGGTTTTTCTACACTGCTAGCTCCCAGGTGCATTTTTAATAAACATTCTAGTGAAATACAGTATACATACCACGAAATGCATATAAGTGCACAGATCAGTGAGTGTTTTGTCCTCTGATCATACTCATAAACAGTTTTTACATGAGAAGAGTATGCTGTCACGTACATGGCATGATTCAGTGAAGCAATATTTATAATTATATGCCAAACGATCTGACATCCACACAATTTTTATATTCTCACTACATATTAACTACTGCAAGAGAAAAATGTGTGATATTTGTCTTTTGGGGTCTGGCTTATTTCACTTAGCATACTGATACCCAGTTGCACCCATTCTGTTGCAAACGTCAGGATTTCATTCATTCTTCTGGCTGAGTAAGGTTCCATCATGACTTGCCAAGAGAAGGCTCAATATGCCTATAGTCTCCCTTTGCGGCTTCTATGCTAGATAGAGCACCTTCTAAACACAGTGAAGGAGGAGGAACTGGACACAGGGTAGGATCGTCTATTCCAACATCCTGGGAGACCAGCATGGAGTGAGGGACCCTCAGGAACAGGAAGGTATTGTGTAGCAGTGCTCCCCTGGAAGGGGGCTTTCATGCCAGATACTGCACCCCCCAGCCCGTCATCCTGACGAGAACCACGACATCTGCACCCAGTGACCACATACGCTGGGTGACGGAATGTGCACTTCGAGTCAGCAAAGGTTGCGCTGATGCCTTCCTGGTTGAGAGGCAGAGACACACAGCTCCCATCAGCTGGCTTATCCCCTAAATGCCTGCAATGGTCCTGGCTGGGACTAAAGCCAAGGCCGGAAATTGGACACTCAATCCAGGTCTCCCACGTGAATGGCAGGAGACATCATGGCTGTCTCTGAGGGTCTGCATCAGTAGGAGGCTGGGATCCAGAGTCTGAGGCAGGTGTCCAACCCAGGCACCCAGATGCGGACACTCACATCTTAACTGTTAGGCCACAGGCCTACCCATAGCTTCCTGATTCTGTAAGGGACACTAATCTCTAACTCCCCTCATCCCATATGGGCCCCAAAACTATTTCTGCATCATCTACAACCATGCAGAGTTGATGACTAATATTTCTTCACTTGGATAACATAAACCCATTAAAAGCAAATATTCAAGTTCAGGGCCACATCTTTTGGGCATATGTACAATACCCATTAAGAAATTAGAAATAGTGATTAAAAAAAACACTCACAGTTACTTTCTTAAGGCCCAACAGGAATAGAAGCCCCTGGCTTTACCAATTCTCCCTTTTAAATTCCAAAGACTCTTCAAACAGACCAGGGTTCAAACCCAGGACAAGCCACCACTTACTGGCTGGATGGCTTCTTTGGCAAGTCACTCAACTCCACCAGGTCTGAGTCATCACCTGAACAATGAGAACAACTTCGGTCCTTAGAATGAGTGTGAGGGTCTGAGACAAATCGGGTGAGGGAGGAGGGGGCTCTGGCCAGCGAGGCGTCCCTCGTGCACGTGGGGGGAGGGGGACTCTGCCTGGGTGCAGCCTTGGACAGAGCTTGCGGTGCTCTCCAAGCTGCAGCCACCACCCAGGAGGGGGAATCCCGGCACCCTGGTGAGGATGAACCAAATCTGCATTACACAGGGCTCAGCATGAAACAGGCACTGAATCCAGACCCCTCTGGAACTCACCAGTGAGACAGACCTTAGCATGCCCTCTGGAGACAGGAGGAGACCAACGAGCAGACAGGGAGCTGCCTTGCCAATGGTCACTCAGTCTGTGGACAGTACCCAGTGGCTTCTAGGAGAGCAACGGAGAGCATCTCTTGTCCACAGCTACAACCATAGTCCACCCACTCCCTGATGTGGCCACATCAAATTGTTTAAAAAGAACAACCCATTAGCAGCACTCTGACTCATGGCCATTTCCGCGTGAAGCTAATGGCCTGTCAGTCCCTTTGGCTGTCTCTCACGGAGCCCCAGGGGGCTGGCAGGGACCCCAACCACGACGGCTAACAGTGCTGGGCTGACTTTAGCTGCTGTCTGCCTCCTCTCACGTACATGCAGTTGACATTCAAAGGCACCAGCCTCCACAATGACCAGCTCTTGACATTTCTAAGGTGCACTGAGAAGTTCCCAGAGGCCTGGCAAAAAGCCGAGCTGCTGGAGACGCTGCAGGATTTATAGGACAGATACGCTGGTCTGAATTCAGGGTTCTGCTCACTCTGCAGTGGGGACAGTAGAGAAAGCATCTCTGAGATGACAGCTGAGATGAGGGCCTCTGTGAGCGAAAGGGACTGCCAGGACAGACCCTGGATGAGCACCAGGCCTGAGCCAGGAAGGACCTGGCTTACTGCAGGGGACTGACACAGGAAACCGGGAGGGTGGCAGACAGTGGGGTTTTGTCCCAACTGCAGTGCAGGATGCTGCAGGGCCCAAAGTGGAGAGGTGCAGTGCCTAGAACTGTCCCTGCTGGTCTGTGGGGAGTGAGGCCTGAAGGAGTGGAAACCGGGGGAGGCTCTACAGCAGGACTGGGGCGCACAGGAGGATGACCGGAGTATGCCACAGATGGGGCTCAGCCATGGGAAAAGGGGACCTCTGGAGTTCAGCTGCTGGGTGTTCTCCTGTCTCGTGAGAACAGAGAGGATGGGGGCGAGTGGACTGGAGAAAGATCGTCCAGCGTTCTGTTTCACACCCATCTGTGTGTGAAGATGCGCTGAATGAATGGGTCAGCTCAGCCTAGGCTGAAGATCTATATTTGGAAGTCCTGTGCTGTGGGACTAGGTGAGGTCACTACAGCAAGGTAGAGAGAGAGCAAAGGGCCCCACACCGAGCCCTGAGACACCTGAGAACCTCAGGGCCGGTGGAGAAAGAGCAAGCAAAGGACAGCTGTAGGTGTGGCACCACGGGACCAAGAGTCAAGGAGGTCACACTGCCAGCAAGACAAAAGAAGATAGATAAAAGCACTCGCTGTGTCTGGCAAAGTGGGGACTGTGCATACTTCAGCGGTGTGGGAGGGAGAGTCCAGACGAGGGCTCATCTGAGAGGAGCACGCCACGTGTACGTGAGCACGCGGCTTCCTTCACCGAGGTTTCCCATGGAAAAGCACCAGCTGCACAAGCTCCAGCACTCTGCACGTCCTGAGACGCGGCCCACAGGCCAGCATAGGAGACTGGACGGCTCCAAGCCCCGTGGGAGAGTGTGTCTGGCCAAAAGGGCTTTTCTTTCCTTCTTTATGTAACAGCAGACACCATAGGACATCTGAGGGGTCTAACAGAGCGGGGTCAGCCTATCCAACACCGGGGAAGGACAGGGAATCTGCAGAGGTGAGGAGAGCACAGGTGGACAGATTTGCCTGTGGGACGGGCAAAGGCGCAATCTCACCTTCGACAGCACAGAGGGAGGTGAACGCAGGTACAGGAGGCAGTGGGTCTGGACTCCAGCTGGGGAGTGCATAGGCAGGCTGCAGGGAACCCGGCAAGTAGACTTCGGAGAGAAAACCATCCTGATGGTCTACGTCCTATGCCCTCACTGTCCATGAGCGGGCTAGGACCACCTCATCCCATGATCTGGCCTCAGTCACAGGGCCAGGTGCCCTCCTGAGCCAGGCTGTCTCAGGCAGACACCACAGGGCCTTTGAAATGTGCAGCTTGCTTCAAAAAGCAGCTGGACAACTAGCCTCCACTTGAAGAGAAACATGAAGGGACATGCAAGTGGACAGTGAAGCAGGTGTAGGGGCCAGGAAGCCATTCAATGCCAGGAAGCCGGGCAGAAGAGAGGAGACAGGAGTGGAGTGGAGCTCCCCTAGAAGAGAAACTACACCCCGCTCTTACCTTTCTCTCCCAATCCTGAGAAGACCCAGCTCTATAAAAAGGCTCCTGTCCCAAAGTTACTCTGACCCACTTTTGTATCCGGTAAGTACTTCTTTCAACTTGAATGGACTCAGACGCCGAAAAGGGACTAACAGGACTACTCCAGTTTTGCAATGAGGAATCCAAAGCTGCTGCTGTCACAAAACCAGGGAGTAGCCGAGTCAAAGGTCAAGCCCACCTCTGACTCCAAGGATGTGTCACTGCCATGGGGTTGAGGGGAGTGGGGTGTTGGCCCCACCTATCTCTCTGCCCTCCACCCACTTGGGGACCATGCCATCCCTCACCAGGCCTCTTAACTGAAGCACACACGGCTCTGCCTGGCTTCCCAGATGGTTTGGGCAGGATGGACACTGAGGCCTCCAGCTGAGTTCCAGCTCTACAACTTCCACTGCTAACCAGCCACCACAGACTCCAGCTCCAATGCCAGCCAGGAAACAGGAACCTCACAATGCTCAGGTTCCACCTGATTCAGTGAAACCATCTGCTAGGGCCCTGCCCCCACCACTGTGGGCCCATGGCAACCCATCAGCACCAGAACATTCCAACTGGTCCCCACTTTGGGCAGGAGCCCTGGGGGGGAGGGTGGGTAGAATTTTCTAACTCACCCATCCATGGGGGTGCGAGCATCTGAAATGTGGCCATGATCTTAAAATAAGCTATGCCATGCAGTTAAGGACACACATATTTTAAACACTTGGTACTCAAAGAAAGAATATGTAAACTATCCTACTAAAAGTTGTTTTAAAAAAAAGTTGGGGCTAGCATTGTAGTGTAGCGGGTAAAGCCACCTCCTGCAGTGCCGGCATCCCATATGGGCCCTGGCTCGAGTCCCATCTACTCCACTTCCGATCCAGCTCTCTGCTATGGCCTGGGAAAGCAGTTGATGGCCCAGGTCCTTGAGCCCCTGTACCCTCCCGAAAGGGGTCCTGGCTCCTGGCTTCAGATAGGCGCAGAACCGGCCATTGCGGCCAGTTGGGGAGTAAACCAGCGGAGCGAGGACCTCCCTCTCTCTCTGTGTGTGTGTGAGTAACTCTTAAATAAATCAATCTTAAAAAAAAAGTTGTTTATATTGATTACATGGATTTTTAATATACTGGGTTAGACAAAACATATTACTAAAACTAATTTCATTTGTTTTCTTTTCACTGTTTTAAAGTGGTTACTAGCACTTGTACCAGACAGCACCACATTCTGCCGCTGGGAAGCTGTCACATCACAGGCTCAACCCACAATGCTGAGGACTCTCTAAGCCTTCACAACCCAGCCCCCTTTGCTCTTCCCAGTCTCATCATATCCCATGTGATCCACTGCTCCCGACGCACCCGAGCCTTTGCAGATGCAGTATCTGTCTTTCCTAGAAAGCCCTTTCCCGAGCACCATCATCCTGTCACAGCCTTCCTCATTCTTAGAGAACCTTCACATGTGGCCTGCAGCAGCCCCTCCAGCAGAGGCAATGGGTCCCTTCCTTGATGCTGTCTTGGGACTTAGTTTACGCCTTTACTGCAACCCAACTGGCTGGCAGGGCCTCTGCCCCCCGCCCCCCCCCCCCCACACACACACACACTGCTGAGGGACAAGTGCTTCCTGTAGGGTTGGCATGACACCTTCCACATGACCAGTGCTCGACAAACATCTGCTGGAAAACAAGCAACTACGGAGCTGAACTAGCTAGCTACCATTCCAGCACTGCTTACTTCATTCTCAGCACAGCGGAATCAGATTCATAATTTTTACCAACATTGTACATGATGAAACTGAGATTCAGGAAAGTATGCTGATTTGACCAAGATCAAGCATAACAGGGGAAACAGCAGAGTCTCATCTCAGTGGAACACTCATAACAGTATTCATTAAATACTTACTCACTGAGAAACTGAATGTGGATTTGAACACGGATCTGATTCAAAGGCTACCCATCCTCTATGGGGGAGGCCTGCCAACCACCCTACAACCAAGAACAGCAGCTACCACTTCCTGAATGCTCACCACCTGGAGGCTACTGCACAAAGCTCTCCACAAACAGGCAAGCCTCAGAGCAGACTTCACCCACATTGTGCAGAGGGGTCTCAGGCTCGGAGCAGGCCCAAAGCGCACTGGCAAGGCTGAGTGCTCAAGCTGCTGAGGCACCACTCAGGATACCCCGCTTCACATCTCAGAGTGCTGGTTCAAGTCCTGGCTCCCCTTCCAGTCCAGCTTCCTGCTAACATTCACCCTGGGATGGTTCAAGTACTTGCGTCCCTACCACACAAATGGGAGATGAGACTGGGTTCTGAGCTCACAGTTCCAGCCTGGCCCAGCCCTGGCTGTAGCAACTCGGGAATGAAGCAGCGGATGGAAGACCTCTTCCTCTGTCTCTCTGTAATACAGTAAAAATAAACAACAAAAATTTTTAAAGCCACACAAATTATTGTTTAAAAAATAAAATAAAAACAAACACTAGGAGTACAGCTGGGATAAGTGAGCTCTGTCTGGGTCAGAAGCTGTGACTCTCCCATTCCACATAACTGCTGCCTCCCAAGTGACCAGGGCTTGTGGACCCAGGGACACTGTTCCTGCCCATGGGCTCCAGAAGAGGGAGCCTAGGCCCTCCTCCCTGGCTCGTCTCACTTGGCAGCAAAGTCTGTTTCTTACAGGCAGGCCTGCCCTGATTCCTGGAACGCACAGCTACACTCACACCCAGGCTGGGCAGTTGTCCCAGGTTAAAAGATGTGTTGTATCCCGCTTCAGTTGTCATGGGCCAGGCTGCTTCCAGGGTCCCCAGGAGAAGTGCCCCTCTCTTTGCCCATCCCAACACTGCTCAGGACCAACAGTATGGAGAGAGCCAAGGAGGTTCTAGGTCATTGAGGGGTGCCCACCAAAACAGCCTGACCTGGCCTGAAGTCCCTATTAAGTCGCTATGTGCTGTGTTAATTATATCCCATCACACAGTACTGCTCTCTCCTTTTCTAAAGCTCCCAAACTCTCCTGGTCTTCAGAGAAGACAGTTTAAGGTGCCACCTAAGAAAATGGCTGCACGTTCCTGCTAACTTACAATCAGGAACACAAATGAACGACCACCACCTGAGAAGGCTGGACACAGGGCGATCACTAGCATCTCTTCCTGCGGCTGTGTCTCGGCAGTAATGTGAAGCACTGTCAGGCCCAGACTGCTCCACACTTTAAGCGATGAGCCCGGGAAAGCTGCCCTGGGTTCAGGGAGACATAAATTCTGCACTTGAGGGCAGCAGCTCTGCAGTTCGTCAAGTGTGCTTGCTTCATTTTATGTCCCTGGTATTTAGCCATAATGGGCCTGGGATCACTTCTCTCCAGTCTGCGGCAGAGAGTGGGGGCAGGCTGCCAGGAGAATTGCACAAGACGGGACTCCTGACACCTGCTAAGCACCTGCTGATAACATAAGCGCCTTCCCCAGGAACATACACATGAACAAACAGTGACAGCTAAACAGGTGCCGACTCCACCACCCCTGGCTGCTGTCAAGCCAGAGGCCAGGATGCTCCAGACCTGATGGCCTGTGTACATATGTGTGCACGTGTATGTTGGAGTGGGATGGGTGGGGAGACATCCCATCTGGAGAGATATAAGTGCATGCACATAGTGCAAAGGGAAGGAGGAAGTGAGTAATTTGGTGGCAGCAGTACTGGCTACTCCTAGATAAAACTCCAAGAACACAAAAGAACCCTGTGGGTGTGCTGCTAGTAATAGACACGTACAACCAGGGTCTCAATCAAGTAAATGAGTAACATTTGTTTGGCACAGCAGGGTTTGCAAAGTGCTCTCCTGTGCATATTCATTTCACCCTCACAGTAAGTCCACATGGACATGTCATTGTCCTTACTTAACAAGAAAAGGGAGTCCATGGAGGAGATGTCAGGGTTTCAGTCCCATCTGGCTATGCTAGGGTCCTGACCCTGGGCAAATAAATAATGTAGCCTCTCAGACTGCCAATTACTCTACGGTGAGGCAGGGATAAAAATCCCTATCATTCAAATATTTTCTCAGCATGTACTACACAGCAGGGGACATGAGGGTACAGCTTGAACAAAGCAAGGCAAAAACACTGCTTTCACATAATGAAGCTGTCTTCATTCACGGGGAACCTGGGGAAGACACACAGCTTCCAAATGAACAGACTGTGTCAGATGATGCCATGTTTTGCGTAGAAAATAAAGGTGGGACATAAAGAAGACCAAGTGTCTGCTAATAATAATAGATAGAATTAAAAAAGGAGAGAATGATCCAACATGGGACGCCAGCCATACGGCAGACTCATAGAACAACAAATGCCCTAAATAGCACTCTGGCCTCAGAATCAGCCCTTAAGGCTTTGGATCTGGCTAAAAAGCCCATGAGAACATTTCAGGCATAGAAAGCCAAGACACTGTGGCAAAAAAATGACCTACATGAAAAATCTCTGTGAATGAGATCCCAGTGGAAATGACGAGCCATCAAAGGAGGAGGTACCTTTCTCTGAAGAGAGAACTTCCACTTTAATTATGGCCTAGTCTAAATAATGTCAGTTTGTGAACTCAAGAGGCTTCCATAGCCTTGGCAGCTCATGACAAGAGCCTCAGGTGATCACTGATGTCATAAATAAAAGTGTCAATTGTTAAATCAACAACAGGAGTCACTGTGCACTTGCTCCCCATATAGGACCTCTGTCCTTAATGTGTTGTACTATAAGAATTAATGGTGGCTGGTGCCACGGCTCACTAGGCTAATCCTCCACCTGCAGCCCAGCACCCCGGATTCTAGTCCTCATTAGGGCGCCGGTTCTATCCTGGTTGCTCCTCTTCCAGTCCAGCTCTCTGCTGTGGCCAGGGAAGGCAGTGGAGGATGGCCCAAGTGTTTGGGCCCTGCATCCACATGGGAGACCAGGAGGAAGCACTTGGCTCCTGGCTTCAAATCAGTGCAGTGCGCCGGCCGTAGCAGCCATTTGGGGGATGAACCAACGGAAGGAAGACCTTTCTGTCTCTCTCTCTCACTGTCTAACTCTGCCTGTCAAAAAAAAAAAAAAAAAAAAAAAAAAAAATTAATGGTAAAACTAGTCTTCAAATAGTACTTTATGTTTTGTGTGTCTGTGTGGGTGCAAACTGTTAAAATCTTAGTATAGAGTAGATCTTCTGTATATAAAGATAATTACAAATGAATCTTAATGAAGAATGGGATGGAAGAGGGAGTAGGAAGTAGGAGGGTGGGTTTGGGGGGAAGAACCACTATAATTCAAAAGTTGTACTTATGAAATTTTTACTTATTAAATAAGAGCTTTCTATAAAAAATAAATAACTTAAATGGCAAAAAAAGGAAGGAAGGAAGGAAGGAAGGAAGGAAGGAAGGAAGGAAGGAAGGAAGGAAGGAAGGAAGGAAGGAAGGAGGGAGGGAGGGAGGGAGGGAGGGAGGGAGGGAGGGAGGGAGGAAGGAAAGAGAGAGAGAGAGAGAGAGAGAGAGGGAGGGAGGGAGGGAGGGAGGGAGGG